GAGCTGATTTAGGCCCCCATCTTTCAATTTAATAAATGGACAGATCCTTACACCTGTACAGTACGACTGAAGTCAATAGGTCTCTTCAAGGGCACAGGGTTCCATTGTCCCATTGAGTCTGTTAAAGTAGCTCATTCATAAAGCTTCATTTTACTTTAACAAGACTGTTGCAGAATTTATACAGAATATGCAAGGGAACTTGGAAGGATTCCCCCCCCCAACCCAATATAGAGTGCATGTTAAAAGGGCAGTATATGGTCATATATCTGTTTTTTTAAGTTTTCATCTATGTTACTAACCACCTTTGATTACTAAAGCCCCAATCCTCTGTGAAGCTCCTTGCAGTATCAGGGTGCAAAATGGAAAGAATTTTAAAAATCTAATTTACTTTTCACGAGCTGGGGTATTTACTTTTTTCATTTCACTTAACTGAGACAGCTAAACTAGATTGGTCAATTTCACTCTCGTGAGCAATCAGTTTCACTGTCAGGTTCCCATGCCCTAACAGAACTCTGCGATGTTTTGGTTACATACACTAGGGAAGAATTTTTAAATCTAATAAAAAAAATTTCTATTTTCATTGACAATTTTTAAAAAAATAGTGAAACCAATTATTTTCAGTTTTGTAACAGTCTTAATGATGACAAAAAGTACTAACCAGAAACTTGAATATTTTGCATGTTTCTGAACATACTTAGCATTAAAACTTCTATACAGCAAAAAGAACTAATAAAGTAAAATTGGGGCATTCAGATCCTGCATCTGCCACCAGTGTAATGAACCCATAAACACCCAGCAACTTCCATTTCACTATACTTCATACTAAACTACTTAGAAATTCACAGCAGCATTGGGAAAACCCTCAGCTACTCCGACTCTGAAGGCAGGATTAGTGATACATAGTTCAACAGTTCCAAGAGCATCCAGTAGTAGGCAGTGGTCTGTCCTTATGCTATCCCGTTCATTACAACACCCTACCAAGTTCCTTACCAAAATTCTTCCCACTCTATACCGTCTTTTGCCAACTTGCACGATTTTATCAGGAGTCTCATGATGTTTGGCGACCTTCTTAAAGCCCCAGTTCCTGGAGTAAAGAGAGATTACATGAGAAGCTCAGCTTTTATTTATTATTTTTAAGTAACATAATATCTCTACTTTTTTTTAATTGAAAATGTAACCAAAGTGTACTGAAAGGCTCACAAATCAAAAAGCAAATAAAATAAACCGTAGTTTTTTAAAAAATCATGATTTTTAGAAAACTGTATGATTTTTTTTTTAAGGATCTGATATGGTTTTTGAATGCTTGGGCACTGTACTGTACACTTCTGTTATGGAGTGTGCTGTCTGTCATTGTCTAACAGGCTGCTACCATCCACCCCAGAGTTTCCTTTCTTTCAGGAGTGAAGCTGTATCCCATATTAGGGATCTTTCCCTACTTCTCTGCAAACCAAATCTCATCTACTGCAAGCTTGCCACAGCTTGTCCTCCTCCGCACTTGCTGCCTGGGCTATGTTGCTCCAGCCTATTATGCCATCTGCTCAGATTTCCAAAGGAAACTTACATTTTTCAGTGTGCCAACACCCAAAACATAATGTGGCTGGATAGGATGAGGCAGGCATTTTACAAATGCAGTAGTTTACACAAAGTAAAATAACAAGGAACACTTTTGATTGATTGGAGAGATCAGAGCTGCTGTCATGAGCTAAAAATCTTTCATAAAGGCACATGCCTCTTAACAGGTGAAAGCTAAAAACAGGAACATTTAGGGGGGACAGGAGACACTGTCAGTACTGATCTAACATGCACACATACAAGGCATTTACATGGGCCTGGCATGTTCACATATGTGGCACTGGTGTGCCCACACATGTGGCACTGGGGTATGCCTATAGATAGCACTGGAAAGGGCTTGGTATGCTGTCAGACATGGCACTGGTGTGCTCCATATGTGACATTGTCATGGGCTTGATATGTTTAATTCCACACATGGCACTGGCATGGGCTTAGCAAGACGTTTGCATTTTGTGTATCCTATTTGCCCCTCCCCACCCTCTCTGATCCTGCCATCAGTGTGCAGCCCCCACCCCGCCCCTTCCCATACTGTGGCAGACAATGTTCTGTGGAGACACACCAGTGCCACATGTGTGGGTGCAACAGCGCCATGTTGTATGTGAACATGCCAGGCCCATGGAAGTGCCTTGTACGTGATGAGCCTGCTAGACCAGCACCCACAGTGTCTCCTCAAGTCTTGTGCCGCCCCGCCCCCACGTCCTTATTTTAGCTTTCACGCATAGGCCGGAGGCATGTTCCACATGACAGCAGCTGCGCTTCCCAACCCAGCAGGGGGAAGCGGCGGCAGCAGCAGCAGCAGCCCAGCCCCGG